TCAAAAATTTTTTTTTTTTTTTTTTTTTTTTTTTTTGTGTTCTTTCTCTCAAATTTGTGACAGAAATTGAAAGGAAGGAACTGGGTTTATATTTGTGGTTGAAATTAATGTAATGGATTTGCAATTAAGGTAAGAAATCTCGAGTCGCAATAATTACCATGAAAATTATATATATATATATATATATGTATGTATTTTATTTTTAATTTTAAAATTATTTGTTCTTGAAAAGCTATGGAGCTGAGATGAATTATTATATGAAACTCTTCAATTAAAAAAAAAAAAAATCTGCCAGTAAAGAAAATGATTCATGAGTTTGATCTGAAGAAGGCATGAGATAAAACACCATCCCATCTCATTCATTAAACTTTCCAAAATTGATAAAATTAAGATTTTTTTTTTTTTTTTTTTAATTTCAAAATTTTGTGTTCATGTTCCTTTGTTAATTATTATTAGGGATATTGTCATGGAGACACATTTAATTTCCTTAAACGACACAAGGACAACATATGACTTTTAGGGTTCTTTCCTGATTTTTTTTTTAATTTTAGTTATGTCCTAATCATGAATTAAATTATAAATTCTAATTTCTAAAAATATTTAATAAATTCTTAAACTATATAGTAAATAATATCTTATATATATATGAACAAATTTAGAGATATAAAAACATATTAATAAATGATTTTATTTGTATTTCTTTGGTTTTAAATTATATATGATATCTCAAACATTATTATCATAATTAAGCCTTGCCATGCATACAAATTTGAACTTTCAAAGACAGTGATCTTAATTAAAATTAAAAAAATAATTAATAATTAATAATTATCATAATTATCATAAATAGCTGGCTTCCCATTAAATTATTCTGCCCTTTGATTCTGTAACCAATCCTTTAGGTAAATTGATTTAACCAAGTTTATAATTATTCACTTTTGCAGTTACTAAAATTTCCATATTTTTTCTAAAAATAATATCTTAATTAATTTTAAACGCTAATTAAGATTTATGCATCCACTTAGCCAGTTGTAATGATCTTCAAGTTTCCTAATACAAACCACTCTTTTTTATACATTATTTTATTTCTTTTTTCCATTTATATTCTAAAAACTTAATTATATGATTTTTTTTTTGGAAAAAATATATATAATTTTTTAATTACATAATATTTTTAAAAATGTTGACGTCGATATATATTTCTAAGAAAGTAATAAAAAAATTACTTAGCTTAATAAACAACATTTTTTACGATATTTTTTACGATGTTAAGAAAATATGAAAAGTAATAAAAATGTCGAGTTCGAATTTTAAGATTAAAATGGTACGAGTAAGTAAAACTAGATAATTATCCTATCAATATATTAGGTAATATTAATTGAAAAAAGCCCTAATTAAGGTAAATTATAAGAATCATAACCCTACGCACTGTTACTAGATTACTTGCTCACTTAGGGTTTTTTATTTATTTTATTTAATTTCTTCAATTACCTTATAATTAAATTAATTTAAATTTTATACGATGCATTTAAAATGTACAGATTTTAAGTGATTTGAACTTTTGAATATCGAGTAAAAAATTACATGTCAATTACGGTTTAACTATAATTTTTTTCGTGTTCATTCATTTGATGAGCTAATTTAGCTAAATTACAAGTTTAATCCCTAGTTGGCCTTCCAAATTTATAAATTTAGTCGCTAAAATGTGATAATATTTTAAGTTTCAAGGGTATATTAGATATTTTTTTTTTTTAATGTTTAGGGAGATTGTCCATTAATTTTAATCCATATTTATACCTTTGATTAAGAAAAAAACGTTGAATTTTGGGAACGCATTCCAAATTTAAAAAGGAAGGTAATTGTTTGCAACCCTTCGTACAAAGATTAGCTCTTCACAACCTTTCACGAGGATGAGAATGAATGTTAGTGTATGGTAGGTGTAATGAATGTTAAGTTATATATATATAATCTGTACTCGAAAAAATTTTAGTACTACGAAAAGATGCTGATGTGGCAACCAATTAACTAGAGTAGTAACGATACTACATATTTTCTATAAAAAAAAAAGACATCATAATACAAAATTTCCTTTTTAAACCTTATGGGAATGAGAATTATTATTTACTAGTTTCAATTATTTATTATTTATCTTTAAGTTATCTTTTCATTGCATTTCTTTTTTTTTTTTTTTTTGGGTTGGTCTCATGTCAATTTAAAATGGAAAATCTATATTTTTAAAATGTAATTTTTCAAAAATTGACGGAAAATCTCATTGTTTAAAAATAAATAAAGAAATAAATGTTTTATGTATTACGAATTCGTTTGGGGATAATGTGTTTTCCATGACTGGCGTTGTGAATTTGTGCGCTAAATGCAGGCAGATTGATGATGCGTACAAGGTGTTCGACAGAATGCCTCAGAGAGATTTGGTGTTTTGGGGTGCAATTATGGCTGGGTTTTCTCAAAATGGCTCTGCAAGGAAGGCACTGGAGTTGGCTTTGAGGATGCAAGATGAAGGCCAAGGCCTGATTTGATTACATTTGTTACTGTTTTGCCTGCTGTTGCTGATGTTCGGTCATTCGTTCGTCACGGGTATGCCATTAGAGCTGGGTTTGCAAAGCTTGTTAATATTTCAACTGCTCTGGTTGATGTGTACTCAAAATGTGGGTGAGTGGAGAGAGCTAGATTGATTTTTGATGGAATGGATCAGAGGACTGTTGTGTCATGGAACTCCATGATTGTTGGATATGTGCAAAGTGGTGAACCAGAGATGGCTATTGCAGGAGGAAGGGATAGAGATAAGCTAAGCAATGTAATACTTGTGGAAGCTTTGAATGCCTATGCCGATTTGGGCGATCGCAAGAGGTAGAAATTTGTCGATAAGTTAAATCTTGGTTGTGATGCCGCAGTCACTCGGTATGGTGTGAGGGGCTCTACTATTTCAAGAAAATGGATTAAAGCCTTTGATGGATCACTACAGTGCCATGGTCGACCTTCTCGATCGAGTTGATAAGATCAAGGAAGCCTGAGATTTTATTAAAAACATGCACATTCGTTTAGGAGCACAACTCATTTACAATCTAAGAGCATATATGCCTTTTTTGAAGAACTTAGAGATGAAATCAAGGTAGCTGATTATGTGCCAGATACTAACTCGATTCAAGATGTAGAAGACGATGTGCAGGAGCAGCTCCTCAATAGCCATAGCGAGAAGCTCGCCATTACTTTTGGTCTTTTAAATACCAGTCCTGATACTACGATACACGTTCGAAAGAACCTACGAGTGTGTGGAGATATGCATAGATTTCATCATTTCAAAAATGAAACTTGACTGTAACTCCTGCAATTGATAATGTATAGCAAAAGACATCATGAACACTAATGTTTGTGATTGTTCCAAAAGAAATGAACAAAAGACACAATAGAACGGAGAGAGTAATTGTCTAAGGTCTACCCAATATTAGATGTAAAAGAAGCATAAGAAATTGATTCATAATAAATTGATATGAACATTATGAGCTGTCCCTATTGTTGCTATACTTTCTGCTCGGTTCGATAAAGCTCGGTTCCACCATTCTAACTACAAATGAAAGTGAATCCATTCTTTTTCATTCTAAAACGAAACAACTTAAAAAAGCTCAAGAAGTTGTAAGAGAATGAGCCAGCAGCCTCAATAGGAAGGGAAAAAGGCCTCCCATTTCAATATATCATTGGATTCAGAATTAGGCTACATACTTAACAATGGCATGAGACAAATAGTAAGAGATTTAGCTAACAGCCTCAAATTGTAAAGGGAGAGCGGTATACCTCTGTGAGAGAGAGATCTTGAAAAGCTCAAGAAGCAGGGTTATTAGACGATAAGACTCCCCCATTTCAAAATCATGGTACTAAAATTTAGAAGATAAGAAGAATTTGACTTACAACCTTCCAATCCTATAGAACAGGTCTGGCTTCGGCTGTGGCATTGCCCCTGTATATCTCCATAAGATCTGGGACTTCATCCAAATGCTTAAGAACATAATTCTTCACAAAAATTCTTTCCCCTACAACAAGCAACCGAGCAATCTTTCTGTTCTCAATCAGTTTTTTTACCTTCAAAACCTCAACAACTTTGAACCTTGGCCGGAGACGCTTGTCCAGTCCAGACATGAAGAACGTGGGGTAAGAAATTACAGTTTCTGGGTCCAATTTTGCAGCGTTGAAACAGAAATCTGCAACAGCCCTCATTTTCTCCTCTGAACAAGCTAAACAATATGGGTCTCTCTTAAATGCTGTTAAAATCTCCTTCTCAGACCATCCCAAACTCTTCAAAACATTTATTTTCTTCTTCCAAGTTGTGTCATTCATGGACAACACTACACGAAGCGCACGAACAAACATACGAGTCTGTGGTTCAATGCCCAATTCCTTGACCTTCTTCACTGCACAAACCATTCTATCAACCTTTTGCATAATAGTTCTTGGTTGCTGCGCAATCAATTTCGATATATTCCTAGAAGGTACCCCTTCACCGAGCAACACATTAACGTTAGATTGCATAACACCCTTAAAATTAGAAGTTAGAAGCCACGAAGATCGACGAATAGCAAAATTAGCCTGCTCATCCGATTCAAGCATTTCCTTAATGAAACAAAACGATGGTTTCAAATGAGAATCTAAGCCCCTCTGCAGAATAGCGGGGTTCGATAAAATTACCTTTGGAAGTAAAGGGCCGACGAACCCAATTTCCTCGAGGAACTCAAATTTAGGCTTCAGATTGCTGGAGACTCTCGATTGAAGGATTGAAGATCGCTTCGCGATCAACTTGGCGATCTGCGAATTCTCGAATCCATATGATTTCAAGAAACCAAGAACGGCTTCGTACTTCTTGGCGCTTTTTTCATCGAATTGGAGCTTTCGAAGGGCGGAAGAAGGAGAATCCGTAGCAAGCCCACAAGAGTTCTTGAGGAATTCAATCGTAGACACAGACGCTAGAGGCAATGTAGAACCAGAAACCGTATTGATGAACCGATTTTGGATGAAATAGAGCAAAAATGTCGAGGAAATTTTAGACATTTTGGGATAGGAATGTCGAAGTTCAAGCAATGGTTTTAGTTAGGGTTTTAAGCTCCAAGAACAGCCGCAGAGTCCAAACGTAAAAACCCATTCAATGTCGGATTTTGAAGTCGCAGACCTCGCAAATTTGGGTGTTTTTATTTCCCAGTTCGAATATTTATAGATATATCAAAATTAAAAAAATAAAATAATATTACCATTTGTCTTTTAACTTTTTTTTTTTTTCTCTTTTTTTTGGGTGAGTATTCCAATATTTAAATTTTTAGTAAATTAAAAGGATAATAATTTCACACCGGTGTTAAAATCAAAATTTTTCATCTTCCTTAAACTATCCCTTGATTTATTGTTGAAGAACTAATCTCGTGTATGACGGGCGTATTGTAAATTTTAGCGGTTTGCCTGTTTGCAGTTTACATAATCACTTATAGAAGCTCCCTGTACCCTTTCTAAAAAAAATAATAAATAAAAAGTTTTTTGCAGCACCAATGACATAAAAAATAATAAATAAAAAGCTATTCGCAGCACCAACCGCATGAATATAGTTTTTTTTTTATCAAACGATGTTCGACTTGCATATGTTAAACTTATACCTAGCCTTTCTTCCAAGACATTGGAGATAATTTTCCGGATGCAAGATGAAGGCCAAAGGTCTAATTCGTTGACATCAATTACTGTGCTTGAGAGAATGTTGGAGGTGTTAAGAATTCGTCGATCTCTTTGATAAAATGTCGAAAGGAGCAGTTGAACCAAATGATATTACATTTTGATGTGTTATTTCTGTTAGTAATCACTCAAGTCCAGTGGACGAGACTTTACTATTTAAAGAGCATGAAACAAGACTAGATTAGAGCCATAGATGGGTCAATACGGTGCCATGGTCGACCTTCTCGGTCGAGATGGTAGGATCAAGGAAGCCTGAGATTAGTCCAAGGATTACAATATGTGGTGCCATGTTGGGTGCTTGTAAAAATTCACAAAAACATTGAATTGGGAGAGAAAGCAGCCAAAAAATATTTATGCATATGCTTCAAAGTGGGGCAAGATGGCTGATGTAACAAAACTAATGGAGAAGAAAGGGCTTCAAGAAACTCATGCACAATCCAAAAGAATATATGCCTTTCTTGAGGAACTTAGAGATGAAATCAAGGTAGCTGGCTATGTGCCAAATACTAGCTCGATTCATGACGTAGAAGACAATGTGCAGGAGCAGCAAGCTCGTCATTGCTTTTGGTCTTTTAAATACCAGTCCCGATACTATGATACACGTCCAAAAGAACCTACAAGTGCGGAGAATGCTACAACCAAGTATATGACTATGTTTGCTACCACTCATTCCATTCCTTGAAACATTTATGCTATTATAATTAGATGCTGACAATTTTCATATGCAAAACTCATAAGAAATGGTTATTATCATACAAGATTTAGGCAGACTATAGAGTTAACTTGTAACTAAGAAGCTAACATGAACATAATTCTTCCGGTGACAAAATTTGGTTCGAATCTCTTACTTTAGAGAACCGTGTACTCAACTTCCATCAGTAGATTCATAGTAAAATAATAATGTTTTTTATTGTTCCAAAAGAAATGAACCAAAGACACAATAGAGCTGAGATGGTAATTGTCTAAGTTCTACCTAATATTAAAGGTACAAGAAGCATAATAAATCGATATGAACATCAAGAGCTATCCCTAATAAAACCTATGGTTGATACTTTCCGCTCGGTTCCACAATTCCAAATGCAAACGAAGTGGGTCCATTTTTCTTTTCTCGTTCTAAAATGAAACAACTTACAAAAGCTCAAGATGTAATAGAATTAGATAGGAACAACTTACAAAAGCTCAAGATGTAATAGAATTAGATAGCAGCCTCAATAGGAAGGGAAAAAAAAAAGCCTCCCATTTCAAGATATCATTGTATTCAGAATTAGGCTACATACTTAACAAAGCCAAGAGACAAACAATAAGAGATTTAGCTAAGAACAGCCTCAAATTGGAAGGGGAGGGAGGTTTACCACTGTGAGAGGAGAGAGATCATGAAAAGCTAAAGAAAACGGCTCTCCCATTTCAGAATCATTGTACTAAAATTTAGAAGATAAGAAGAATTTGACTTACAACCTCTTCCAATCCTATAGAACAGGTCTGGATTCGGCTGCCGCATTGCCCCTGTATATGTCCATAAGATCTGGGACTTCATCCAAATGCTTAAGAACATAATTCGTGACAAAATTTCTCTCCCCTAGAAAAAGTAACCAAGCAATCTTTGTGTTCTTAATCAGTTTTTTGACCTTCAAAACCTCAACAACTTTGAACCTTGGCCGGAGACATTTGTCGAGTCCAGACATGAAGAACTTGGGGTAAGAAATTACAGTTTCTGGGTCCAATTTTGCAGTGTTCAAACAGAAATCTGCAACAGCCCTCATTTTCTCCTCTGAACAAGCTAGACAATATGGGTCTCTCTTAAATGCTGTTAAAATCTCCTTCTCAGACCATCCCAAACTCTTCAAAACATTTATTTTCTTCTTCCAAGTTGTGTCACTTATGGACACCACTACACGAAGCGCATGAACAAACATACGGGTGTGTGGTTCAATGCCCAATTCCTTGACCTTCTTCACTGCACAAACCATTCTATCAACCTTTTGCAAAATAGTTCTTGGTTGCAGCCGAATCAATTTCGATATATTCCTAGAAGGTACCCCTTCACTGAGCAAAACATTAACGTTAGATTGCATAACACCCTTCAAATTAGAAGTTAGAAGCCACGAAAATCGACGAATAGCAAAGTTAGCCTGCTCATCCGATTCAAGCATTTCCTTAATGAAACAAAACGATGGTTTCAAATGAGAATCTAAGCCCCTCTGCAGAATAGCGGGGTTCGATAAAATTACCTTTGGAAGTAAAGGGCCGACGAACCCAATTTCCTCGAGGAACTCAAATTTAGGCTTCAGATTGCTGGAGACTCTCGATTGAAGGATTGAAGGTCGCTTCGCGATCAACTTGGCGATCTGCGAATTCTCGAATCCATATGATTTCAAGAAACGAGGAACGGCTTCGTACTTCTTGGCGCTTTTTTCATCGAATTGGAGCTTTCGAAGGGCGGAAGAAGGGGAATCCGTAGCAAGCCCACAAGAGTTCTTAAGGAATTCAATCGTAGACACAGACGCTAGAGGCAATGTAGAACTAGAAACCGTATTGACGAACCGATTTTGGATGAAATACAGCAGAAATTTCGAGGAAATTTTAGACATTTTGGGATGGGAATGTCGAAGTTCAAGCAATGGTTTTAGTTAGGGTTTTAAGCTCCAAGAACAGCCGCAGAGTCGAAAAGAAAAAACCCATTCAATGTCGGATTTTCAAGTCGTAGAGCTCGCAAATTTGGGTGTTTTTATTTCCCAGTTCGAATATATATATATATATATATCAAAATTTTAAAAATAAAATAATATTACCCTTTGTCTTTTAACTTTTTTCTTCTTCTTTTTTTTTTTTGGGCGAGTATTCCAATATTTACATTTATTTACATTTTTTGTAAATTAGAAGGATAATAATTTCACATTTATGAAATTGTTAAAATGAAATTTTTTCGCCATTTCTTAAACTATCCCTTAATTTATTGTTGAACTAATCTATGTACGACCGTCTTATTGTAAGTTTTAATGTAAGTTTTAACTGGTTTATATGATGCTAGTCTTATTGTAAGTTTTAATATAAGTTTTAACTGGTTTACATGATGCTAGTCTTATTGTAAGTTTTAACAGGTTTACATGATGCTTATAGAAGCTCTCTTGATTGTTTGCAGTTTACATGATTGCTTTGCAGTTTACATGATGCTTATAAAAGCGACGTTCTACTTGCATATGTTAAACTTATACCTAGCTTTTCTTCCAAAGCATTGAGATAATTTTCCAGATGCAAGATGAAGGCCAAAGGCCTAATTCGTTGACGTCGATTACTGTGCTTGAGAGAATGTTGGAAGTGTTAAGAATTCGTCGATCTCATTGATAAGATGTCGAAAGGAGCCGTTGAACTAAATGATATTAAATTTTTATGTGTTATTTCTGTTAGTAATCACTCTAGTCTAGTGGATGAGACTTTACTATTTAAAGAGCATGAAACAAGACTATAGATTAGAGCCTTCGATGGATCAATACGGTGCCATGGTCAACCTTCTCGGTCGAGATGGTAGGATCAAGGAAGCCTGAGATTAGTCCAAGGATTACAATCTTGTAAAAATTTACAAAAACATTGAATTGGGAGAGAAAGCAGCCAACAAATATTTATGCATATGCTTCAAAGTGGGGCAAGATGGCTGAAGTAACAAAACTAATGGAGAAGAAAAGGCTTCAAGAAACTCATGCACAACTCATGCACAATCCAAAAGAATATATGCCTTTCTTGAGGAACTTAGAGATGAAACCAAGGTAGCTGGCTATGTGCCAAATACTAGCTCGATTCATGACGTAGAAGACGATGTGCAGGAGCAGCAAGCTCGCCATTGCTTTTGGTCTTTTAAATACCAGTCCCGATACTATGATACACGTCCAAAAGAACCTACAAGTGTGGAGAATGCTACAACCAAGTATATGACTATGTTTGCTACCACTCATTCCATTCCTTGAAACATTTATGCTATTATAATTAGATGCTGACAATTTTCATATGCAAAACTTATAAGAAATGGTTATTATCATACAAGATTTAAGCAGACTATAGAGTTAACTTGTAACTTAAGAAGCTAACATGAACATAATTCTTCCAGTGACACAAAAAAAACTTGGTTCGAATCTCTTACTTTAGAGAACCGTGTACTCAACTTCCATCGGTAGATTCATAGTAAAATAATAATGTTTTTTATTGTTCTAAAAGAAATGAACAAAAGACGCAATAGAGCTGAGATGGTAATTGTCTAAGTTCTACCTAATATTAGAGGTACAAGAAGCCTAATAAATCGATATGAACATCAAGAGCTATCCCTAATAAAACCTATGGTTGCTATACTTTCCGCTCGGTTCCACAATTCCAAATGCAAATGTAAGTGGGTCCATTTTTCTTTTCTCATTCTAAAATGAAACAACTTACAAAAGCTCAAGATGTTGTAATAGAATTAGCTAGCAGCCTCAAT